CATGTCTTTATAAATTACATGCATATGCAATGAGAACAATGTATCATGCACATCTTAAAACAAATAAAGATTGAAACGAAAACAGATGAAGTAACAAATAGAAAAAACAATTCTGTCATTTCCAGTGTTCCCGTTTGGCTCACCTTGTGCATCTCCTAGGATGAATGACATGCTGAACATTACTAAACGAAGCAATTTTTGCCTGGAGATAGGAGGTTGCCAGGGGTTAGAAGTAGGACAGGCTCTCAAATAGAAGAGAAAGCACAGGAGAATTGGGGGGCAGAAGTGTTAGAACAGTTTTAAATTGTGATAGTGTAACCAAGTTTTTAAATTTCATAATATTGTACACATGAAAAACAATGAATATTACTGTATATAAATTTTAAAATATATAAAATACAGGGGAAAGAATATAACCAGTAGTTAGATCCTGGGCACTTTGCTTTTCCAATCAAGTGAAAAGTAAATCCAGTTAAAAACCATATCCTAGTTCTGCTTGTCCCTCCAGAGACCGAATCACATAAAGCATAGAAAATGGCTAGTGTCCCTCTGTAATCAATTCACTGATCCTTGAAAACTCCACAGCCAACTGTGGAAGGTGACTGCACAATATCCCCACTCAACCTGCTCTTCTGAAACATGACCTTCACCTTGCCATCTGCTCATCAAGATGTGAAGGTCTTCTTCCCTTGAAACCCATCTAGCCTTAACAACTCCCTTATCACGAAAAGTACACATGAACGCACAGGCCAGGTCAGAAATGGCCATAGGGCTTTGGGCTGAGTCTTGTAGAATATATTTTCTCAGAACCCCTTTCCCATGCTAAAGGAAGCCTAAGCCACATGGAGAGGGCATACTCTATCCAATGGATAGTCCTTGATGAGATCAACTGAGTCATCCTGCTCAAAGCAAGAATTTCAAAGAAATCTAGCTTCCAGTTTCTTAAGTCACCTCCAAATTCTGAAAGCTCAGTCTATGACCGTAAGCCAGACCCACAGTGTCCTGTCTGAATTTCTGATCCACACATTGTATAAACATCATGCTCTAATTTTGGGGAATGAGTTTGACAGACAGATCTGACTTGTGTCCTATCCATTAACCACTCCTCTTCTTTGCTATTACAACTCTGACTTTGACCAACAAGCTCTGATAAAAATACCAAACCCCTTGTGGGTTGGAGAGATGGCTCAGAGGTTAAGAGCACTAGCTGCTCTTGCAGAAAACCAGGGCTCTAATCCTAGTTCCAGGATATCTGACGCCCTCTTCTGTCCTTCAGGGGTCTTGCATGACATGGGTGCACTTATATTACACTAGCACACATAAAATAAAAATAATGAAAGAAAAATTGAAAAAAAACCACAAACCCCTAGGTTCTCATTCATAACATATGGCCAAGTAATAGAATCTCAACCAATGAGAAACAGAGACTGCTGACTGAAACTTCCAAAAATAAAAAATAACATAAAGCAAATCTCTTCTAGTACGGCTAGCTTCCTTGGCCTTGTGTGTGTTTCTTCTCCTAAGTCATCCCACCAAACATGTAGTTTTGTTGCCTAGAAAGTCAAGAACCAACTTATCACCTGGAGATCAAAAGTCACAGATAGAAATGCCGATGTGAAGTGATGGGAAGATGCAGATTTCTCGATAACTTTGAGAAGCCATTACACCGAACCAAACTACTCACTTAAAATTTCTGCTTTAAAGCATGAACTCTGTGTTTAAACATTTTTTTCACTCTGTGTGTGTGATGTGTGATGTGTGATACAGCTATACACATGCCATGGTGTACATGTAGAGGTCAGAGGGCAACTTAGTGAAGTCAGTTTACTCCTTCCACCTTTATGTAGGTTCAGGGGATGGAACTGATGGTCAGTCGCACTTTTACACTCTGAGATGCCTCACCAGCCCAAAGCACATTTTAATTAGAGTTTTCTGTTACATGCAACCAAATGTAACTGGCATCAAAACGGTGACACAGAAGTCACAAAACCCAAAGTCTGCTTTTGTTCAGTTTGGATGAGGAACAATGACTTCATGGGGACTCCAAGATTCTCCTGTATTTTATTTTATGTTCTGCTATAAATTAAAATAGCAGAATATTTAGTTTTCTTGTATAAAACTAAATAATCTGATATTTGAACTTGTATTTTGAAAGCAAAGTCCAAAGAAACATGAGCATAAGCAGATGAGACCGATATCATATGTATTTGTTGTTCCCTGTTACACCTTTGCATAAGGTGCTTTCAATGATCAATGAACCTAGGATTCTATGTACCCCTATTTAAGGCACTGTGTGAGAGGCACAAAGCAAATGCCCTACATTTTAAGACTGAAGAGGCAGGGAGAGGTTGGGAGGCACTGCTAGACCCTAAAACCCTCTCTACTGGAGCTGGAATTTTCCATGAACACACAAAGAAGTTACTGCCATTCTGTGAAAAATTAATGACCAAGAAACTCTATCAGATCCTCTATTCAATCACCCTGCTTCCCTGTAATAGCTATTGTGTTGAAAATGGAATGAAAGTGAGTCTCTTCAAAATTCATCCATTGGAGCCATGATCCCAGCATGGCTCTATGTGGAGATAAGCTTCTAGGAAATAATTAAGTTTAATAGAGAACTAAGAACTAAGGAGGCTGAGACAGGGGGATCTCCGCAATTTAGAAGCAGCCTGGGCTACATAGTGAGTTCAAGGCCAGCATGGATACATAGTAAAACCCTATCAGGGAAAAATTAACTCTGTTCATAGGGAAAGAATGGTTGGTAAGGACAGAGAGAGAGAGGAGAGAGAGAGAGAGAGAGAGAGAGAGAGAGAGAGATTCCTCTCTTTCCCTTCACTACCGTGGAAGGCACAATGCATAAGTTCATGTTGGAGAGAGGAGACAGGAAGTGAGACAACACCAGAAACCAAGTACATTTGCATCCTGACCTCAGGACTTATACACTTCAGACCTACGAGAAATGAATGTTTAAGCTTCCCAGTCTGGTACTTGTGATGTCAGCCTGGGGTCAGTGACAGACTGGAAAGGAAACGGGGGTAACCCAAAGCCCCTTTCCTTTCAGGCCTTCTGCACTCAGCAGGCAGAATGTTGGACTGAACAGCTTTCCACTGCAGAGCAAGACTCCTCTGTGGACAATATTAACCATCATACATCTGTTGGACAAGATTCACCCCATGAAAAGTTAACTTCTCCATTTTTCTTCCATATATTTCACAATCATCAAGGAAGATCATCCCACATCTACATTATGGCATTTCAAGCCAAATTGTCTGGAGTCAGACCCTTGGAGGTGATTGGCTGCCCACAAAGTTGGCTGAGGTAGAGCTAGCAGACATTCTAGGAGATGAGAGAGGGAACACAAACCTCAGAGACAGCACAGCCTGTATCCAGAAGAGGAAGGCTGTTTGCAATCCCTGTGGATTCTGCATTCTTTGAAAGAGACAGATGAAATTAGTCTGGAGTTATCAGTAGCACATAGAAGAGAGGGAAGGAAATACCAATTTGTTAAGGGAGAGTTCTCTGCTAACAGCTTGCAATTTAAGTTAAGTGGGAATCCTACAATTTGAAGTCTTAGAATTGAAAGAGGTAAGCTCCTCAATAACGCCAAAATAAAACTGATAAAAGAGGCAGCCACAAAGCTGCAGGCCTCTCCCAAATACCTTCCATTAATGGTTCTCGGCCAGGGAGAGGAGGCCAACCCGCTGACAATGAGGGGATTAAGAGGTTGTCCTGCCACCACAGCCTACTGTTCTGATTGCCTCAAAAGAGAAACCATTAAGCTAAGACACAGGATGGTGGTCACAGCACAAAGAGCAATAGGTAAAAAAGGAAAAGCTTGAGGCTTAAAAACATCTAAACACAATGTGTGCTGTTATTACTCCCACAGGTAATGAACAGGCCTGGTGCCTGCCAAGAATTTTGAGGGAAATTTTGCTATAAATACTCCAGGCCTGGCTACCTATAGTTTACCATTTTTTAACTCCTAATGAAACTCCAGGCCCTTGATTTCCATCAAAAAGAAACTGTTCTATGGAATCCATGTAGCCCCATAGAGTGACATCCTTCCCTCCCTAAAGGTAGCCTTCAGGATAAGGAGAAAGAGAAAAGCCCTGGCTGCCAGACAGCCAGTAAGACACTGGTTCCCCTGCTAGAGCAAGAAGGTGTCTTTCTTGGTGTCCTGCTGGTGGCTCTGGATTAGTGGGCCTTCAGGCACCTGCTGTGTTCTTTTACTGTTGTTACAGCCTTCCCCTCTAGCATTGTATGTTAGTCTGTGTAGGAAGTAATGAAAAAAATTCACTAAATTTGCTCAATGTGCAAACTCAAGAACGAGGCAAATACTTTTAGATTCTGAGGTACGTGCCATAATTGAAAGAAATCTCGGGGGATGTTGACCAATGCCTGAAAGAAAGAGAATGTTTGATTAGCCCAGGGTAGATGGTGACAACCACCCATCATCTATGCAGTTTCTCTTCCTTCTTAATTATAGACCTTTGTTTTATATTAGCAGCTGACCAGATTTGCTTTCTATTACTGTGATAAAATACTTTAACCAAAAACAACTTGGGGAGGAAAGGCTTTATCGCATCCTACACTTCTCAGTGACAATCCATCTTTGAAGGAAGCTAAGACAGGAACTCAAGGCAGGAACTGAAACACAGACCACAGAACACTGCTTACTGGCTTTCTCCTCTGGCCTGTATGCAGACTACTTTCTTATATGGCCCAGGGGTAACACCAGCCACAGTGGGCTGGACCCTCCCACATCACTCAACAATCAAGAAAATGCCTCATAGACATTTCCACAGGCCAATCCAATGGAAGAAATTCTCTAACTGAGGTTTCTCTTCTCAAATACTGACAACTGAATCCACCATAACAGTAGCAATGGGCCCAGTTAAAATACACACACTCTGAGTTCTCTTGAACTTTTTTTTTTCTGGGTATACATTTATTTTAATGTATATTTATTAAATTTTTGTGCTTCTCATATAATCTTAATCACACTTAAACACCCCCCCCGCACCCCTACCATAGCACCCCCACCAGATTTCATGCATTCTGTCTTTGAGACAGCTGTGAGAGTCTCCTGGTCACTGAAATCATGTGATTTTATACACATGCTAGGGACAGAGTCACTTGGAATGCTGAAGCAGATACTGCTGATTGCTTCCCCCTTCTTCTGGGTCTCCTTTTTATTTTCTGCAATGTGAATTTGGTGCCTAGAAAACAGAGAAACCCTGTTACAACCTTGAGAATGAAAACTATGCCAGAGATAGGGCAGAGTGAAAAGGAAAGTTCAAGTAGTTTTACCCCATACTAAGAATACAGTGATAGTATGCAAAGTAATGGTATGCGAATTAGATTGTGATTAGCCATTCCACAGTATACAAATACAGCAAAACCCATGTTGCACACTCTAAATACATACAATTTTTCTTTGTCAATTAAGATTATTCTAAGAAATAAAAAACAGCAAAGACAGCAGAAAAGAGAGAGACAGAGATGGGGGTAGAGACTTCTGGACCTCCGCAAGTTATGTGACAACTGAATTAATTTACAATTTCTTTAACTTTTTAAAATTTTATGCCTGCATGTATGTAAGTATACCTGTGTCCTGCAATGCCCATGAAAGACAGAAGAGGACATTGTTGGCTCTACTGGAACTGGAGTTACAAACAGTTGTTAGCACTATGTGGTTGCTGGGATTTGAACCCAGGTCTTCTGCAAAAACAGCCAGTGCTCTTAACTGCTGAGCTATCTCTCTATCCCTTATTTTATGAATTTTTGATATAAAATAGGAATAAACTTCCATGGGGTGAAGTTACTGTTATTGGGGAATGCTGTGACATGCAACCAAACACAAACCTATCTAATGCAGATCACCACAGAAAAGCACAGCCAGTCAGAGGTGCTTGTGACAGTGATTTGTAAAGAGACCGCTCCATGGTAAGTGAAATGCAGCCGGGCTGGGAATACAGGAATGAGGATTTCTTGCCAATTCTTCAGATAAATCAGAAGACGCCGAGCGGGTAACTAGATGGGTTTCTGCTCTTGCCACTGATGCAATGGGCGTTTGAGCCTGAAGTAAGCAGTTCCACATCTGCATCTAAGAGATCTCTGCAGGCCAAAAGGAAGTGTCAACAGGGCAGCCAGTGCATCTCATGCAAGTCAAATCCACTCTCTCTGCTGTACATGCTTCAGTTTATTAGTAATTTTTATCTACAATTATTAATCTTCTGTATTTGCTTTATATCCTTTAACCTAGATGCAGAAGTAAACAAAGTTCCTATGAAGGGACTACAGGATCAAGAAATTGTGCTATCACCATGTAATGGATTCAGCCTAGATACCCATCAACAGATGAATGGATAAAGAAAATGAGGTTCATATACAATGAGGTATTATTAAGTATTATTAAGAGTGAAATGATGTCATTGGTGAAGGAATATAGGGGCTCATGTATTGTGTCAAGATTGGTTCAAACTCACTGTAGATTTATACAACTGCTCTCTAAAACTGCACCATGAATATCAGTTAATAACAGTAAAATATTCATTGTTCTAATTTTGGCCAATCAGAATGCTGCTTCTCCTAGAAACATTTACAAATTGAATCCCAGATGACTACAGGTCAACTGCAAAATATGCTACTTTTTTGTTGTTTGTTTGTTTGTTTGTTTGTTTTTTAAAAGAAAAATGTAGGGTTTTTGTTCAGGCCCCTTCAGCAGAAATGCAAGAGAGGCCATTGGAGCTCAGCTACTCACTATCAGCCACTGATGGCAGAATCAGAATGATGTCTCTCTGGTGAATCCCTGCTGCTGTTGAAGAGATGGAACCTGGCTGTCATTGGGCCTCTGAGAGAGGAGTCCAAATACTTCACACCATGTGGTTACTAACAACCATGTGGCTCTGATATTCATTCAGCTGAGAGTGCTCATCAGGGACCTGACTTCAGAGGGGCTTTGCCACACTCTCTTCCCATGAGATCACTCATGTTATGTCAATGGCCTAAATTGCTTGTGGTTTTCATCTAGCCTAGTCTAAAATAGAAGGCAAGGAAATTTAAAACACCAATATTGATCATAGCCCAGATGAACTAGATAGTATTTGACACATTCCTTTGTTATTAATGTACATGTGTTCAGTCACATGTGTACATGTGTACACATGCATGTATGTAGAGACTAGAGGACAACCTCAACTGTTGCTCCTCAGGCACCATCCACCTTGTTTTTAAAAACAGCGTCTCTCACTGGCCTGGAATTTGTCAAATAGGCTAAAGTAGCCAGCAGTGAGACCGAGGGATCTGCCTGTCTCTGCCTCTTCACACTGGGCTTACAAGAATGTGCGACCATACCTACCTCTTTTTAAAAAAAATATGTGGGTTCTGGGGGACCAAACTCAAGTTGTCAGCTTATAAGGTAAGCATTTATGGAGTGAACTGTCTCCCTAGCCCAGTACTTGACATATTTTGCTGGACATCCACTTACTATATCAATAAATCCATTAGAAAATAAGTATGTCTTCCCTCCACATGACCCTAGCAACAGTATCACCAATTATATTGCCAATATGTATTAGATACCAGTATCCTTTGCTCCAACTTCCAATAGCAATTTCCCATCATCCCTCCATTCTCATCAGACCCCTATGCCTTCACTACTACACATTTCTAAAATCAACCATATTTGTTTTACACCTTTTGCTTAAGCAGTGACTTCTTCTAGGTGCCAGTTTGTACCAACTACCTGTTTTTATAAAATGAACTATCCTCAAAACTTAGGGACTTAAAATGACACCTATCTATTATCTTCTACACAGCTGCATGTCATGAACTCAGACAAGGCAGGGCTGTTTCTCATCTCTCTCACATGATTTATACCAGAACTTGCATATTCTGGACAGTCTGTTGACTCTCCAATCTAACACCTCAGCTACAATTATCTAAACAGCGCGAGACCAGTTGGAACAGCTTGACCAGGACCAAGTACAGTGATTCCCCACTGATCCAGGATTTTGATTTCCATAGTTTTATTTACCCATGGTCAACTGCGGCCAAAAACTGTCAAATAGAAAATTGCAGAAATAAAGAATTCACAAGTTTTACATTTTGTGTTATTCGAAGCAGCATGATTAAAAATCTCACACCCTCCCACTCCATCCTGCCTGGGACATGAATCACCTCCTTGTCCAGCACATCATGCTGTAGAATACATATGGGGAAACATTTTACATATGTATATGTATACAGACATATATACTTAACATATTGAGCTCAACACTCTCAAATTCCCCTTCCGTAGATAAGGGGAATCACTGATCTCAGATTCCCAGTAACCTGGGGTCCTTCGTTCTCCTGCATGAGTTCTCAGTTTCTTTGTGATATCTCTACATGATGACTCCAGAATTGTAGCACTGTAAAACAACTAATCTTAAGGTTCGGGGCTGAAATTGTACAATATCACCTTCCAAATGTTACTGAGTAAAGCAGTTCACAGGGTCATCCAGATTTAAGTGAAAGGATAGACACAGGTGCATGACACTGAAAGGTAGAGTTCATTGGGGTCACCAAGCTAACAGTTTACCTTACATTCCGGTGAAGCTCACAGAGGCATTAGAGCTGATTTCAATTTGTAGCAGCACTTTTTTTTTCTTCAGCTTTAATAGTTTTGTCTTCTGAAACAATAAAAGGACCACTTTAGTCTTCATTTTTCTTTAAATCTCTTCATTATTTGGTCAATTGCCACTCCTGTACCACTTATCTTACTCTGCTTAATATGATACTTGCATTCTTGTCTTATCCCACTAACTGGATAGAAAACGTCTCCAGAAAAAGAAAAGTCTCATATTTAACTTTAGAGTCTTCCACTTCTAGTCCCTGCATGTCACAATGGCCCTTGAGGCCCTAGACTTCGTCTCAGTTCATAGTCTAGAAATGCCAGAAGGACTCTTTAAGGAACAGACATTAGAAAACAAAGACGAGCTTTATTTAAGAGCTCTGGCATTTGAAGGTCTTTGTCAAATCATCATCATAGCGACTGTTGGTTGGTTACACATTTCTCACAAAGCACAAGCAGGGAGATATTATCAAGCCTTTACCAAGTCCAAGAACAAGCAAGCTGAAGACACAGGTCTATGTTTCAGACAGAGCAACATGAAGACAAGAGGTCTGTATGATTTTTTTCACTGACCACTAAATTAGAAAACTGTAATAACTTATTACTAAAACCCAGGTCTGTCCCACTGGAAGGCTCGTGCTTTTATACCTTTACCCAGCTGAATCTGTTAACACGAGTACAAGCCATCCTGCTCAAAACTCATAGAAGGGCCTGCACCTGGTTCTACTATTTCACTGTTTCTGCTTCATAAATTCATAGTAATAGGTGAACAAAAGACCATGCATTTCCATCTTACACTGGGCCCCATGGTTTATGTGCTAGTCTCATTCCTGCATGTATGTGAAGGATTACGACAGGTGCACTTGGACTTATCTCTTCATTTAGCTAAGTCTTCTGTTTCACAAGAATGGGGGATGCATGGAGTAGGTCCATGGTACAAATGTATTTACTTCAAAACTCTCCCCCAATATTTTCTCCTAAAATGCTACCTCAAGACATTCATGTATTTGGGTTAGTTTGTTTGTTGTTTTTATTTTTATTTTATGTGTATGCATGTACTGCCTGCATATATGTAAGTGCACCCATGTCTTGCAATGCCTGTGGAGGACAGAAGAGGCCATTGAATCCCCTGGAACTGGAGTTATGGACAGTTAGCTGCCATGTGGGTATTGAGATTTGAACCTGGGTCTTCTGCAAGAACATCCAGTGTTCTTAACCACTAAGCCACTTCTCCAGCCCCAAGAGGTTAGTTTATGTTTTAACTCCTCCCACAAAGGGTTTACATCCCATAATTTCACATCGCTCACCTTGAATATTCATTGTATTTATCTTGTCCCAGACCAACAGTCTCCAAAACTGCTCTTTTAATTACCCTTAATGCTACTAGAAGGAAATCCTTTAATAATAATAAAAAAACAAATCTATACTAGTAAAGAGATAAATTATTGGGTAATTATTCACAACACAAAGGATTGCTCACCATGGACTCCTTTAAATGTACACTGAGAGCTCATTACTTGTTTACGAGCCATTAACCACTTGAGAGGTTATGGTGCAGAGAGAAACCGGAGAATGAACTACTTCGAGGCTGAAGATGAGGAGGTGTGGGGTTTAAGTCTCTGAGTTAGACAACAGACAGGAGGGAAAATGCTTCAGACTGAGAAGCCTGGGGAGGGGTGGATCCATTGTGTCTGCACAGTTAACAATATAACCTTAAAAATATGTTGCTGGAGATCCAATTATTGCAGGTGAATGCAAACACCCAAAGTTAGGTATGGGAAGAGATTAATATGCCCAGAAGACAGGCTGACTAGACTCCAGTGAATGAACTTACACCAAAGGCGATCTGGGTGCAAATGCTTGAATGGACAGGACTTAACATGCATGGCAGAACACATGCCATCCAGTAGGGGCTGGGCATGAATGGAGGAGGAGGTCTAAATTTGATTAAGAAATGTTGTATGAAATATAAAAAAGTGCAATAAAAATATTTTTAAATAAAGACAATGTTTCAAATACGTGATGAGATGATCTAGTGATTTGAAGTTTTAGCTTCACTGGTTATACAAAAGCAACTCCCAAGGGAGGTGATTGCCACCTGAACTTTCAGAACTCTGTGAAGTCCATCTGAATCTCCGCAATCCAAGCAAGGCAGGATTGAGCATCAGGGGGTAATGAGCTGGTAGGTATTCCTACAATGGGGAAAGCTTCAGAATCTAGAACATCAGCCACTTGTTTCCATTGAACCCTAGGTAACTGTGGAGCCTAATTCAAAAGTATGTAAGATAATTTCATCCAGAGTCATTGCTTTTAAAATATTTTTTACATTCTCTCCTCTCTCTCTCTCTCTCTCTCTCTCTCTCTCTCTCTCTCT